CAGGGACCACTTTGGCCAGTGTGCTGTGGAAGAGCTAAGTTGCGCTAGTCAGGGACCTCTTTGGCCAGTGTGCTGTGGAAGAGCCAAGTTACGCTACTTAGGGATCACTTTGGCCAGTGTGCTGTGGAAGATCTAAGTTGGGCTATTCAGGGACCACTTTGGCCAGTATGCTGTGGAAGAGCTAAGTTGCGCTACTCAGGGACCACTTTGGCCAGTGTGCTGTGGAAAAGCTAAGTTGCGCTAGTCAGGGACCTCTTTGGCCAGTGTGCTATGGAAGATCTAAGTTGGGCTGCTTAGGGACCACTTTGGTGAGTGTGCTATGGAAGAGCTAAGTTGGGCTACTCAGGGACCACTTTGGCCAGTGTGCTGTGGAAGAACTAAGTTGCGCTACTCAGGGATCACTTTGGCCAGTGTGCTGTGGAAGAACTAAGTTGCGCTACTCAGGGGTCACTTTGGCCAGTATGCTGTGGAAGAGCTAAGTTGGGCTACCGGGCGTACTGAAGTCCAAAGTTCTAAAAATCTAACAACCCCACAGTCCTACGGGTGGGGAAAAAAAATGTTTGTCGGTTTACTTTTAAACATGTCTTTTCAAACATTTTCAGATGTTAGTAGCAGGGTAGGTGGTTAGTCAAGTCCTTTTCTCCAAAGCGGCAAATGGTTCTCAAACTTGGCTTTCGACCCGGAGCCTTCACATGACGAGCAATGGCATTCAGCCTTGCAGCTTTGGACATTTGCCTGAAATCGAATGAAGATGGACGGCATGGAAAGTATGAAAAGTATGTTTGACGGCTGACCCGTTCAGAGTGAGAAAACCCGGGAAACGACACTTAAGGGCTAGAAGCTACTAGGGGCTCCTGGCATCACTACTAGGAGCAAGAAGCTACGCTCCAGTGCAAGTGCTTCTTCAAGGAAGCTCCCCCTCGCCGCCTCAAGGCGGCGGAGGTAGCTTCCTTGAAGAATCGTGAGCTATCCTGCGTCCAGTAGGTAGTAGCTAACTTAGCCTAGTAGCCTAACTAGTCGCCTGACTTAATTAAGTAAGCGGGCAAAAGAAAATACTGCCAAAGTCTTGCCCAGGTTACGAATGCTTCACGGCTTCACTGTTTCTTTTGGAACTTGAGGAGCTGAAACTTGAGCCCCAAATCTTCGCCGAGCAAACAGCAGCACGGTCACACTGTCTTGGGGGATCGACGAGAACGATGTGAACAAATGTGAGCATAAGTCAAGACGTCATGTTAGAAGACTAAAGGATACTAAAGGTGTGCTTTGTGCTTTTTGAATACACAATGTTGAAAATGTGTTAAAGAGTGTAGACTGATCTAATCGATGTAAACGGACGGCATCGTAGTGGCTCCGTTGCTCCTGCTCTAAACTCCTCCAGCGCAAGAGTAGCGTAGCCTCAGCTTTCCAGCTTTTTGGTCTCTTTTTGGTTTAAAAAAAACATTAAAAAACATATTCCTAATTCCTACCCAATAGCGTTGGCCTCCAACCTAATAGAAATGGCCTCCAACCTACTAGCAAAATGGAAGAAAGACATGTTCAAACAAAATGATTAAGAAGAAAAAAACAAAAAGCAGAAGAAGAGGAAACATGTTGCTTTGGTCTTGTCACTTCTCCTGACCGAAGCTGAGATCTTGGCCAATGCCCTCTCTGTGTAGGCCTTCAAGACCAAAGGGTCAGCTGGCAACCTGTTTCAAACACAAGACTCTGCGAGTCCCCACTCGATGCTACCAGGGGCACCTGGCCTTACTATTAGGAGCAAGAACGCTAATCGGGGCTCCACTCGAACAGTACAACTCCCTTAAGATGACTTCTATAAGTACAACTCACTCGTCCCAGCCAACATGTTTTGAACAAATTGTCTGAAGCATTGTCCTGAAGGTTCTTCTGCGTCCTGGCTACTAGTAGCTTCATGTGTGCTACTATCTCGCTTCTCTTTACACCCTACCCCTCAAATGAAACTAGCTCTACACTCATGTTTGATATTCTTCTTTTTGTACTCCTGTCTGTCCTAATTTTTGGTCTTCTCGATGGTTTGGTGTTCTTTGTGTCTCCGTCGCTTCTCATTGCCTCACGCAAAGCTTCTTCAGCTCTTCAGCACTCTGCACATTCCTCGTCTCGATGCTTCCAGGTTTAAACCATTTGGAAACCAAACAAACCCTTTCTTTTTGGGGAGGTACACCGGGTAGGCCGCTAGTAGCTAGGTAGCCAGTAGCTAGGTAGCTAGTAGCTAGGTAGCTAGTAGGGAGAGGTAGCTAGTAGCTTAAGTAGCTTCTATCTTGGACGCAGGATAGCTCGCGCTAATGATGTGGTTCCTAGATGTTTAGGGAAACTTAAGGTTGGAGGCCATCGCTACTAGGTTGGAGGCCATCGCTAGTAGAGGCCATTTTCCGCATTCTCTGAAGTCCGGCTGTTCTTCAACTTTCTGTGTTGTTTGGTGTTTCTACGCGCCTTTCGCACTTTCTGTCTTCGTCCAAGCAGCTGATGCGGAAAAGCCACAGCACCACTGGGGCCGCAAAGGACTGCACCACGGTCCAGCTGCGTGCTCATGCACTCCCTGGCTGTGTACTTGAGAGCGGTGGCCATGTCTGTGCGACCAAAGTATGAGGCACATACACTGGAACATTTCAAGCACCTAAGATTTTTCCACATGGGGCCAGGAACCGTGCAGATTTGGCACCAATGAGTGTTTGCACTGGTCAGTGGCAAGTGTGGACTTGCACATGTCATGCACCTATTTGGGGAAGAGGGTGCCAGGGTAAGTAAATCTTTGACGTACCTGGGCCGGGATGTTTGCATGTGAGGTATGCTTCAGGGTATGCTTTGCACCGTGTTAAAACGAGGTGTGTTTCTGCCTAAGTCGAACGTCCCGTTTTGACATAACACCAGGCACGGTAAAGTGATGTGTATTTTTTTTTTGCTCGCTCCTTTTCTATGGTGACGGGCTGGCCGTTTTGGCCTTGAAGAGGAGTGGCAGTTGTGTGGTGTCTGCCTTCTCCCCGCATGGCGCCTTCAGCGTTTTGCTAGGGACCCATTTGTCCTTCTGCCACATGGCTTGCGCTCTGCAAGCTTGGCATCTCAAGCCTTTGGCTTTCCTCCACATGCGGTGAGTCGCATGGCCTCCACATGGCTGGTCAGGTTGCCATGCCTGGTTGATGCAGGGCTCAACCGCCATGGCCTTGATCTTCTCTTTGGCCGTGTTGCGCAAAGTGCGCGTCCCACAGAGTTGGCACACCAGGTAGCTGCCCTGCTGCTTGAAAAGATGCCCTCCAGCTTCCGGCAAAGTGCCATCAAGGATCTGTTGGATCATCTGGCTCTTGGTCTCGGTGTCTTGCTGCATGTGATCAGCGCCTCCCAAGGTGCTGCCCGGGTTTCCAGCACACCTTTCTTGGCCTGCTTGGATGATGTCAGGGAGCTTCGAGTGGAGTGTCAAGCGCTTGAGGCAGAGTGTGCATTGCTTCCCTCGACCTTTGGTGACCCAGCTGTGAGTGCCCGGGGCCTGCTCCGCGGTCAAGGCATTGTATGCCTGCTTCTTCTGTTCTTGTGTTTGTGAACGGAGAGTTTTGCCCGTTTCTCGAGCCTGGTGAGTGAAATGGTCCTTGGTGTCAAGGATGTACCTGATGCGCTGAACTGCCAAAGGTGCAATCTTCTGGTACTTCTTGTCCTGCTCTTGCAAGATTGCTTCCTCAACCTTCGGTTGATAGGCTAGGGCCACCTCTGTAGCCGCCTTGGTGGCGTCGTGAAATCGGCTCCTCAAAGTTAAGGCGCCTTTGGGCATCTGCTTGACCTGCTGCATGGTCAGGCACAAGGCTTTGATTTGATGCCTTTCATCTGCCGTGACCAGACTGGCCAAATCATGAAAGATGTGGTCGTGCTTGCCATGCACCCATGCTTCCCAGGCCTTGGTGGACAGGATGTGGAATCTAATCTGCTCGCTCAACTTGATGTAGTGGGCGGCCATCCTCAGCCCATAGTACCAAGCCCTCTCCAAAGATTGATGCCCGGGAAGGATCGTGGCCACAACGCCCAGTCGGTACAGCTCTTCTCCCAATTTGGCGTGTTGCACCAAGGCCACAACAAAATGTCGTAGCCGTGGGTCTTTGCTCGTGGCTGCAATGCCAATGGTGAAGACAGCCGTGTTGCTAATCTTCATTTCGTCCTGGAGTGTCCAGCTACCCCAGGCCTGTGCTGCGGCTCCTCCGCTGGGCAGTTCATGGCGAGGCATCATGAGGAGACCTTGCGTCCAGAACTCTAAGTTGATCCCGTGGTCGAGCTCAAACTGGTCTTCCGCATCAAGCTCCCGGAACTGTCGTTTTGTCTCCTTGCAGAGCCAGAGGAGATGCAGGAGGGTGGCTTTCTGCCCACAGTGGGGGCATTGCAGGTGCTTGTCTTCCTCAGTGTCCGAGATCTTGGTGAAAAGAGCCCCTTGGTGCCAGGTTGCTAAGGCGGTGCTGTTCCTGCTGTTGAGGGTCTTGTTCATCCTCCGCCATGGTGTCCAGTCCAAGGTGTACTGCACTTCACCGAGCATTGAACGCTTGTTGATCTTTTCAATCCGCTCCCAGCGTTCAGCCCGTTTGAGCTCTTCTCTCAAAGCAAACCAGTCCTCCGTCATGTCCAGGCGGAAATCCCGACTCCCATTGTGACCAGGTTTTGTCCAAAGCCCATAATGAGTGCAGTCCCAGTCTCTTTCCAACAGATGGCAAATCAGGGCCGCAACAGGGCCTTTGGCGACTTGCCAAGGGTGTTGAGCTTGAAGGAGTCTGTCCCTGATGGCAGTCCAGGATCGTTCCAGAGTCTTGTGTGTAGCCTCCGGCCAGTTGCCATAGAATCTCCGGTAGATGCGGACCTGGGACATGAAAGAGCCATAGTCGGGGTCCTGGTGCCTGCTATGCATGTCAAAGAGGATGTCAATGTTCCCCGTGCGTTGTAGGCCAATCTGGCGGCCCATAGCAATTTTCAGGCGTCGTCGAACTTGTGGTGCCAATCCCATGGCCTCATGGCCCCAACTTATGCCAGCTACGATGCTGCCCTTGTAGAGTTTCAATCTGATGCTCCTCAGGGGCAGCTTCAAGGTGGCGAGCTTTTTGGTCTTCCTGAAGGCCTTGCTGCGTCTGCCCTTGAGCGTCTGGATCCTTCTGAGTCTCCCTGCTGTGCAATCAACGCCTAAGTCCCTCATCACGTCATGCACTCTTGGCCCATCTGGGGGAAGTTGTCCTCTTGGCCTCACTGTTTGATGCAATGAAGCCTGTCTTGTTGGCTGAGATCTTCAGGTTGTCAGCTTCCAGCAGTTGTCGGATGTACTCATACGCTTGCAGAGCGATCCGTGCGGCTTGGGCGGGATCTCGATGAACCACATCAAAGCTCAGGTCATCTATCCAAAGGTCCGTGTGCAGGTGCGGATACTTTTTGTGGAAGGCCTTCAAGGCATCATACAAGTAAATTTTGGCCGCCAGAGGGGCTTGAGGGTCCCCTGCCAAAATGCCATTCTGAGTCCAAACCTGATTTGAGGCCTCACCCTCTGCTTCAAGGATGCGTCCACCCAAGTACAGCTGCATGGCGAGAGCCGCATGAGTCTTGGGGTAGTCTGAGTCCAGCCACCTGGTGCATAGTTTCTGCAGGCTGATCCGATCATAGAAGTTGGACATGTCGAGGAGGACGGAGACCACCGTTTTCCGCAATGCGTTGTGGTGTTCCGTGAGGAAGGCTCTTTTGAGAGCCACTTGCAAACACTCAGTCCCTGGGACTGCTCTCTCCCAGTGGTATTCAGCCAAGATGGTGGTTTGCCAGTGTTTGGTGAGCGATTGTCGTAGACGACACCAAAGCCTGTACATCGTTGCAACCAATGCTTTAGGTCTTTCAATCTCTGCTGATTTGGGCAAGAGGGCAATGAGGGACGTGGCCCATTGCTGTGGCAGAACAGCTTGCGCCTCTATCTCATGGAAGATCTGGACAAGATCCTGCATTGCCTGGTACGGAAGGGCCTTGAGGTAGTCAAAGCTGATGCCATCGAGTCCCGGCGCTTTGAGGCTGAGGTGCTTGATCGTGGTCCAGACCTGTTTCGGGTGCAAAGGTGGCATGTTCTTCCCTTGCTCTGCTCCTTGTTTGATCAACTCAGCAAGTTCAGGTAGCTGTTGCGGTGAATCTTGGATTCCCCATATGTTGCCCCATTGCTGCTTCCTGCATGCCATCCTCTCTTGACGGGGCTTGTCCTGGAAAGGTCGGAGGTAGGGCATTTCATCTCTTTTTAAGGATCTGTAGAGCCCTCGACAGCCTTTCTGGGAAGCCTTGACCAACCATTCTCTGTAAGCTTGGGTCTCTTGATCAATGGCCTGTTGTTGATGCAGCTCTCGCACTTGCTGCGTATATTGCAGGAGCACCCGTACATGTTCATCATCTGTTTGTCCCCAGAGCATCTGGTAGAGAAGCTGGAAGCCTTCCAAGGTGATGGCGCATTCATCATGCCAGTGTTCTTGGAGATGCCAGCCCAGACGCTGGAGGTGTTGAAGGGGTGGATCCATCTGGTGGTGCTTCAGCAATTGTTGGAGCCGGACTTCAACTTGACCCCAAAATGCCAAACTGCCTCTCTTCCAAATCCACGGTTTGCTCGGATCCTGCAGTGGCTTTTGCAGCAACTGTAGCTGTGTGCCTCTCCCATAGGTGGGCTTGTCCAGCCCTTGCAGCACATAGCGCTCAATCTTGTGGTACAAGGCGCCAAGTTTCTGTGTCATAGGAGTTGGCTTTGCTTCCATCCACTGGACAGGTACATCTCGATATTCAAGTTGATGCCACTCCAAGACCGGATTGGTGAGTTTCGGCGCTGGGCTGAATTTTTGAATCTGTTGAACCACCGGTGCTGCAAGATCATTCAGCCAATGGAAGAGCAGTTGCGCGTGGGGCTTGAAAGGCACTTCCCAGCTCGTCCTGACCGACAAATCCGCAATGAGGGATGTAGAGACCAAGGCCCAATCCAGCTCATTGCCACTGTGGCAAGTGGCTTCCCCTGTGGCCAACACTTGCACCTGCATGATGGTGCCCATGGTGGTGGTCATGAACTCTTCAGGCGTGACGTTGAAGTCACCACAGATGAGGACAGGCTTCACCACACTGGTGACAAAGGAGATCAAGCCGGCCCACAGCTGAGCATTGGTGTGCCCTTGAATGCCCTCTCCAGTGCGGAAATAGGCCATGACCAGGAGGACTTCAGCATCTGCAAAGGTCCATTGCACTGCATACCACCCACAGCCCTCAATGATTTGCTTGTGCACATAGTGGAAATGCATGTGTGCTGGGTAGACCAACATGTGACCACCGTGCGCGCCCCCCTTGCTGCTTTCTGCTGCTGGGTGCCCTAGGACTCCAAACCCCCGGGCAGTCAGCCACTGTTGAACCTTCTGGTAGTCCTCCGGTGCCAGGTGAGTTTCCACCATGAGGATAGGGGCTCGTGGTCTCGTAAGCAGCCATTGTCGCACGGGTTGCCCCATGTTGGTGACATTGGCAAAGGCAAAACTGACTCCAGTGAGGCATCTCCTCTTTGCTGGTTGTTCAACTTCTTCAATCTTTGCTCCACTAGGGAACTCACAGCTAACGTCAGGTGGTAAGAGCTCTGTTGAAGGTAAGGCCCATACTTGGACAATTTGGCGCTTGATGCCTTCAGTGATGTCAGGCAGAGGTCGTGGGAAGGAAGTGTCATCAACCATCCAATAGACCCCTCTGTACACAAAGATGCCATGGTAGTGACCATTCTGGTGTTGGTTGCCAGAGTGGCAAAGGAGCCCAATCAAAGAGTACTGTTCTGTTTTTGTTTCGTTGCCGTCCAGCGTGTATGGAAGGTTGAAAATCGTTGGGACATTGAGAATCTGATGGTGTTTTGTCCATTCACCTTCAATCAGATCATATCGTCCGATTTGTCCCACCCATAGGCCCCTTCCATCTGCTACTTGGCCTTCTCCCTGATTTGCCCAGTGCGCGATCAGTTGTTCTAGTTCTTGTTCCTGTTGGTCACCTGGGGAGATCAAGTGAATGGGGAATGACTTCCGCTTGTGCACTTGCTGTCGATGGTCTACATGATAGTAGCCCGGAATGATGCGTGCTGAATCAGCCAAATCTGCAAGGGCCATCAGGAAATGAGACGCATCATCTTGGATCTGATCATCAAACTGCTGCCATAGCGGCCTCAGTGTCGGGAGTGATGTGATGTTCACCACTCCATCATCTTGAAGGGCCGCATGGACTGCGGCTCCAGTTTTGTTCCAGAGCTGCGGTCCGCCCAAAAAGCTGCCCGCCCAGGACCAAAGTCTGAAAGGGGCATTAGCAAAGCACCGGTTGCGGTAGTTCCCAGTGCGGCACTGAAGGTTCTGGATCACATATTCCAGAGGCGTCTTGGTAGCCATAGTCGGAATGACCACTGGCTGAAGTTCTTCTTCATCATGAGCAGGTTCCATGGTGTCATCCGAAGGTCCCGCTCCCCCACAAAATCTTGGGACAGCATTGAACTGTTCCATCAAGGCCAGTTCGACATGAACCGGCGCCCCAAAAGCACAGGTGCTATTGGCCTGTGATGAACCCTGCTGCTCTGAGCCTTGATGCACATGCCCAGCCATAGAACAAAGATCATCATGTTCCCCTAGATGAGTAGTCCATGTCTGACATGTGTCAACCCCTGTTGCCATCTCGTTCTCAATCGGGTTACCCACACTTTCTTCTTTTTGCGGCTGTCTCCTCGAGCTGTCGTGCAAAATCAGTGACCTGTTCAGCTGTGGCCTGTAAGCCAACTTTGGCTAAAATGGTCACCAGTTTCTCGGGGGCTAATGTGAAATCTTGGTCTTCATCAACTGCTTCGTTCTTCTCCTTCTCAAGCTGCTGGTTGTATTTGGTTGTTGTCTCTTGTAGTTCTTTCTGAGCCTGTTCAATCTTGTTCTGCATGTCCTTTAGCTCTTGGAGTAATGCCGTGTATTGTGCCTTGACTGCATCTGCCTTCTGCTGAAGCACTGCTTTCTTTTCAGCCAGCTGCTTGAGGTTGCCCACAGACTGCTTGAGCTTGGTGGCCAGAGTAGGTTCTGGCTTGTCCGGCTCAACCAGCTTCTCTACGGCCTCCTTGAGATCACTTGGCAAGCTCTGCAAGTGCTCCTTTATCAGGGTCGGTAGATCGGCCGGAGCTGGTGGAGCACTGGCCTGAAGTCCCATGGCTTCACACTGGGTTTTGAGAGCCTGTGGAAGTGTGTCCCAGTGTTCCTGCACGGCTTTCTGAAGGACAGACTGCTTGACTTTGGTCTTCTTTGGTCGACTGCCCCCTGTGAGCCCAGGAGGTGGGTCCAGGAAGGCCTGCTTGTAGGTCCTGGTTGGCCATTGCTGGCCAGTGTTGCGGAAGTTCCATTTTGCCCACTGCGTAGTTCTGCGGTGGTTCTTCAAGTCAGCTAGGCTACGTTCTTGCCATGGATGTCCGCATTGCTTGCATGTCAGTCCTGGTTGTGCTATCACTCTTGTTTGCCATATCCAGCTTTGATGACATGATTTGCAAACCAGATAGGCCTGCTTCATGGCTATGTCCTCGTGCTTGGTCGCAAGATTCTGCCTCTCCCACGAACCACTATGGCGCGCAGCGGATCCGGCAGCTGGATTTGTATGGGACCAGCTTGAGAACCTGAGATGGCTTGAGCCAGAAAAAAAGTGATGTGTATGTATACAATTTACATGGTTATATATTATATATACACGCAAATCCACAAGCACTCCAATTCCTAGAAGTTGCTATAGTTTTCATGTTATGTGTCCCCGTGAAGAATGCAGCTACCCCAATGTAATTTGGAGCGCAAAACAAGCAGCCTCAAGCTTTGTGTAGTTGCAATGAGGCACAAACCTCTTCACGCATCAAACATGCGCTGTTGGAACACCAACATGCCGCACTACGACCGCTGTATCTTTGGAGGAAAAGGCCAGGTCTGGCGGATCGCCCCCTGAGGTTGTCAGTCATCTTGGACACGAGAAGAAACGCCAAATTGGTCGTCAAAAAGAAAACACTGCAGTGCGTCAGTGAACACTGTGCAACACCAGCTGTCACCTGTATCATGTTTGGCAAGCGAAGAAATGCTTGGATCAAACTTCGGCAGGTGTTGCAATCAAAAAACTGTATAGCGAGGTGGAAATGTACTGCGCGGACACCTAGGGGCCGCTGAACGTGATGCGCAGCAATTGGTCCCGACGCTCTGTCGGCCTGCTTGCTCAGAGGCTGTGCCGTTGTTGGGCTGCCCTCTTGGTAAGGGAGACGTGTGTTGTCGCATGTGCTCATGCCATCGACAGACCGACGGACAGACCGACGGACGGAAGAACGGACGGACAGACGAATGAATGAGTGGGGAGTGTATTCTGTGTCAATGATCAAGTGGAATCATCATTTCGGGCCCCTAATGAGCGAGCACCAATATACTGTGCATATACATATACGCTAGCTGCTATAGTATGTACATCATGCCTATGCGTAATCCGGTCCACCAATTAAAGAACACGCGGCCCCCCCTAATAAGGAATCCTCGGTCGCCTTTTTTTAAATAGGGGGTCCCTGAAGTCGGGGTGGTCCAAAATAAGGTCACCTGGGAAGGGCTTCAAAACCAAAAAGTAACCCAGGAAAATTATATAAAATCCTTTATTAAACACGTATCAAAAATTCAAACAACCTCCAGATCGAAGGATCTTCCTTTTCCCCTGCAAAAGCCTTTATTAGAATAGTGATTCTTCATTAGACTAACAACTACAGCAAATAAAGCTTTCGAAAGGTGATGTCGCTGTGCCATTGGGGAAAGTGCGTTGGCGTGAGTCCGTGCCATTGGGGGAAGGAAAGCCTGCTGGTGTAAACACGGCGTGTCATTGGATAGACAGGGTCGACAAAGGTGGGCAGTTACGGTTGTTTTTGGAACCTATTTTAAAAAACTCCTCCAAAATCGGCCATGTTGGTAGTTTAGTAGCGGTTTGAAAGGGCGGCAATTTAAATACGAATATAACCCGTATTTAGGGGTTTCCGACATGACTTTTTTTTAAATAAGGGTCCGTTTTTCAATAGGTACTCGGGATTATATATATATACACATTGTGCATAGAATATCGTACAAACATAAAGCTGTACCGGCTGTACCCCTTCAAGATTGACGACTGGCGCCTCACGTGCAGGTCCCTTTTGGACTCTGGGATCTTGAAGCGTTCCATGAAAGATTTGACCAGCCTTGGAACGGTCAGGTTTGCTCCGCAGCCTTTCAGGATGTTCTTTTGGATGCTTTCTAACCACAGAAGCTGCGGAGCAAGCATGGTCATATGCTGCACATAAAGAGGAAAGGGGTATGGCATGCTGAAAGCTTAGCAGTCATATGAATCTGTGAAACCCACAACATCCTATCACCCATGTTTCGATTATTTGAAGTACACTGTATAGTATACTCTCGCTCAATGCCTTGATCGCTATGCAACTTTGACCACACAGCGCCGTCAAAAGGAGCTGTGATTGGTGGTGCTACATCCCGGCATGGACACCAAGCACATCTGTTTGACCGTGTAAGTTGGCCCTTCTTGTGGCCACTGGATGGCTCTAAATTCCATGAACAAACCAACTTCATTTCTTCCCAGCAAACTGCATGGAACTGCTCCACAAAGACACCCTAGGCCCTAAGCATCTGAAACGACGGGGCCTCAGTGCTATGCTGGCTTTGAGATTCGAACGTGGGGAGGGCGGCAGGTCTTGGCAAGGTGGCAGACATCAAAATAGTTTTGTACCTGTAAGTGGCTGTGGCGGCTGGGACACCGTTGAGATGTATCCAAAGCCTCACAAAAGCATGTAAGTACTTGATGTTCACGAGAAGGCCACTATATGATGCCGCAATGTGCGGTTTAAGTTTGCACAAAACTTCCCCTTGCTAGTTAGACACTTCCAGAGTTTGCTTATGTTTGTTTACTACCACTTTGATCCACTTCCTGTGGGAATCCTTGGGTACATGGGCGTCATCATGGCTTGCATCATGGCGCAGGCGAGCGGATTGTCCTGGGAGCTTCGAGTTGAGACACAACACACTCCGCAACTTGAAACCACTTCACTCTTTACACGTGTCTCATGAGTCTGTGTCTTTTCCTTAGAACTCTACACCTCCCTTCTTAATTACTGAATACTTTCTGGGCATGTCATAGCCACTTGTCACTTGTTGATGGTTTTCTGATTTTTTCTTTTGACCCCGAGACCTGCCAACCTGGCTTTCTTTCTTGACAACTTTTTGTCTTTCTTTGAAGAGACTTGTATAATATCTTAAATATCTTTTGCAAACCTAATTGCAATTGCCTCCAACCTAAGAGCTTTCCTTAAAGAGACTTAATATCTTTTGCAAAGGTTCCCTCGATCCTGTCGGGCGCTAACTTCTGTCAGCGTCTTGCCAGTCTCTCATCCCTCACAGTGCCTCTGGGTTTTCGGGATACACGTCGCTGCCCATGGGGGGCTCATCGACCACCAAGATGGTCCTGTCCGTAACAGCCATATGATTTCCACTTCATCTCAAAACGTTAAAGTTCAGTGTCAAAATGATCTAGGGGCTAGAAGCTACTAGGGGCTCCTGGCATCGCTACTAGGAGCAAAGACGCTACTAGGGGCTCGTGGCCTTACTACTAGGAGCAAGAGGACGCTACTAGGAACCAAATCAATCATGCGAAGCGTCTTCGAGGAAGCTCCCTCGCCCTCAGGCGGAGAAGAATCCGCTCTTTTGCGTCCCTGCCAGTAGCGAGACTTACTAGATGGCCTCCCACCTACTAGCAATGGCCTCCAACCTAAGAGCGATGGCCTCCTAACTAGTAGCAAGCTCTCACCAACCTACCTATACCTACTTCTCTACGAGCCGCCTGCGGCCTACTCCTCCTCCCAGCCGAACCCCCCCTTTCTTTTGATATCCATGACCTGAACTGTCCTGTTGGGCTCCAGCTGCCGCAAAAGCCACGCAGCACTCGCAGAATCGCACATGAGAAAAATGCCTCAGAAACGTCGAAAGCGAACAAAATGAGAAGAAACGAATGCTCACCGCTGCTTTTTGTTCCTAAAAATCTAGGAAATAGATTAACCAAATGAATAGTGCGAGCGCTATCCTGCGTCCAATTCACCTACTTAATTGAGTCGGAGGCGGCCTTAAAGAACAATCATATTCCACTATGATCCACATCCACGCCGAGCTGCGTGGGAAACGCTTCAAATCATGAAGTGCACCTGAGCACATCTGAGCACATCTGAGCACTCGAAGTCAGAGGAAAAACGGCAACACAAAGGAAGTCCAGAAAGACCCATGCAACAAGTTGTTCCAATCCTGCACCACCTCACATTCTTTTGTATTGCTGAGCCTGAAAATGCTGAATTATGCAGAGCTTTGGCCGACTTCCTGTTGCAAGAAAAGGTAATCTGAGACAAAGGTAGCTAGTAGCTTCCTGCTCCTAGTAGTAATGCCAGGAGCTACTAGTAGCGTCCTTGCTCCTAATAGCAATGTCATTTGTTCCTAGTAGCTCCTTGTTACTAGTAATGGCCTCCAACCTAAAACGCGATCTCCACCTAATAGCTTCTTGCCATTGGAGTGCTTTCATTAATGGCGTGAACCAAACCGTCATTTCGTGAACAGTCTGCTAGATGCGCCGCACGTGTCGTGCCATTGATGCTGACATGAGTGCGCTGATTCACCCACTTTATGTCGATAGTTCGATAGTTTTGGGGGACCTGCCCGATCTTCAGTGTTACCATGGCCTTGGCAATTTTGTTTCAGATCCTGCAGCAGATGCAGTGGGAAACAAAAAAGGCGAAACAGCCGGACATCAATGAGCTCGCTATGAGCTCGCTATGAGCTCTATTGCCTTTCGCCAGTGTCCCTAGTTTCATTCTGGAAGAGCCACACCTCCGCTCTCGAAGGGCGACAATCTCAGAAAAACCGTCCAAATTGGTCAATCCAGGCCGTTTTGACCTGTCGAGCTCAAGAGATCTCAAAAGGCAACCTTCTTAGCTTGCTGAATGGAATGGTTTCCCTTCGAGTCGTGACCCCCGCTGCTCAAGTGTTGGAGATGGTTAGCGTCGTTTGCTGTTGAGCTGATGAAAATAAGGGATCCTTTCAGTTCGTTGCCAAGGATCATGCGCAGACTCTTGCATTCGATTACATTTGGAATGAGTGTGCTGCATGATTCTCAATGCACGAACCAAGCAATTGACACATTGTGACACGGCCTTATCACGGCGCCCTTACAGCGAGCGAATGCTTGCGTGTTCGGCTGGTCACCTCCCGGCCTTTTGATCCACAAATTGCCTTCGTTTCAACACTTGCCTCCAACCTAGCAAATGAGCGATCTACTTGGTACCCAGCCCAGTTGGTTCGACACCTCGCAACGATGCTCTCAAGGCTTGGGGAACAAACGGACCCAAGCCCTTCGTATGAGGTTGGAGGCCATTGCTAATAGAAACAAAGCAAAACAGAAAAGGCATTCCCTTCGCATTCCCCAGACTGTTCATCTATCAGACCTCAACCGGCCTTTCCCCACCTGAGCTGGCGAAACTCCCTTATGCAGATGCAAGTAAAATGGCCTGCGTAGCAGGGTAAAATCCACAAGTAAATTGTACACACAATAGAGTGCACCTGAATTATCCTGTCTCAAAGTTGTGCATGTCGCTCTTGGGAATGGTAAATTTAGAGCGGCTCCAAATCATACTCAAATTTCTGGGAAAGCTTACAGCATCCCTTGAGAAATCCCTGAAAAACGATCACCAAAACTTTGCCGCAACTGTTGTGCAAAACTGAAACAAAGAAGCAGAGAAGCATGTAGATTGGAGGCCATCGCTCTTAGGTTGGAGTCCATCGCTAGTAGGTTGGAGGCCATCGCGTGAGGCCATAGCTGAATGAACCTGTCAGTGTAGTGTAGCACTTCCAGTACACATTGGCCGGTGCCTTTCCAGCACTCCTGAACAACCCTCTTTGGTTATGGCGCAACGTTCGCTTGATTCGATTGGTGTTTGATTCTAAGGATAATTCAGGGCATGTAAATTGTTCCCACTCACGAAAATATCCAAAAACCATTGAAACATGTGTCGTTTATTCATGACATGACTCTTGAGCTTGTGAACATGTTTGGAAAGCCGCATGCTTTAGAAAGTTTCTGTCGAACCTTTTTTTCACTCTTCGCCACATCAAGATCGCAAGGCACCTCTGGAACGAACCTTGTGAATGGATTACATAGAGTGATGTACAGACTGTCACGGTCCTGGTAGCCTAGGTACTGTCCATTTTCCACACGGTACTATGGGTCAACGCGGAATGCTGCCTTTCAACGGGTTCTGTCTCCCGGTACGAGTATGGACAGCAAACATTCTCATTATTGTTCCTAGTAGCAAACATTGTTCCTAGTAGTACGGCCAGGAGCCCCTAGTAGCGTCCTTGCTCCTAGTAGCGATGCCAGGAGCCCCTAGTAGCTTCTTGTTCGTGATAAGGCTTCCCCACGCCTATTTTGGCAAGTCACGCTTTCGCTTCTTCTCTGCCAAGCGCTTCTTCTTGCGCTCCAAATTCAGCTTAACAACCTTGGAACTTCTGTTGTAACATGTAACTATGCTGCTTGACTTCCCTTTCCTGTTCCATTCTTGCTGAGATTGCTGCTGCATATCTCAAGGTCTCAACGGCTGTCTGTGCCGCCCTGCAATCACTTGGCGACTCAAATTGAGAAGCGGCACCCTTACTGGAGCCTTAGTGCCTTTCCAAGCGAAAGAATCTGAATCTCAGATTCTGCGCCTGCCCTGCTCTGCAGGCATGTCCACATGAGTGCCAAGACCCCTTCCACACGAGTAGCTTGGTGTAATGCGGCGGCCCTTACCTTAAGGTCGCGCAAAAAACTCAGAGTTCTTACCTTAAGGCCTTCTATTAGCGATGATGTCCACCCTAATAGAAATGGCCTGCAACCTAATAGCGAAGGCCTCCAACCTGATAGGAATGGCCTCCAACCTGATAGCGATGGCCTCCAACCTACTAGCTATGGCCTCCAACCTAATAGCAATCGCCTCCAACCAAATGGTGATGGCCTTCAACCTAATAGGAATGGCCACAGCCTTCAACATCAAACTAGGAAAAATGAATGGATCTCTCTCCAGTCTCGTCACAGAAAGCGTAAGGGATGCCAAGGGTATTGGAGATACGGCCAACGCTAAGCACAACAGGCAGTGCGGGGCAGCAAAACACCAACCTTGGCATCAAAAGTTTGCATGTTGCCGTCATGGTGCTGGTGTACGCAGAACATCTCTTGTACAACTTGTCAGTAACCAAATAGAATAGCATAAAACCCTCGCCTCCAGCTTGCAACCAAGCAACGTGTGCACTGGGAAAAGGTTCCTTGCATTCTGTGAAGCAACTTTCCGGATATGCTCATGATGTCTGAAATGAAGTCAAAAACATATCCAAACTGCTGGACTCCATCCGGGATGCCCAAAACCCCTTTAAAAGGCAAGGAGCAAAATATGAGACACCACCGCGGTTTTGCCCGTACCAGGCGGTGCAATGCCAAAGACCAGCTGGGGTCCTGTGCAAAAGCAATGGAGAAACCATTGACACTCTCCCAGACATCCAAGGACTTTACTTGCATGAGCCAGTAACAAAGGGCATCGCTACTAGCAACAAGGGCATTACGACTAGCAGCTCC